GTAAACATGATTGTCATTTTTATTATTATTATGATTATTAATATTGTTATTGTTGTTATAATTATTGTTATAATTATTTATTTATTAGATCTATTTTAAATACAGTCGAGTCTGGATTTGGAAAAAAACAAACAACAACAACAACTCTATTTACGATAAGTCATGTTCTGACTTTTCTGATCATAGTTGAAAAATTCTGAGATTGCAACATAAACTAGCTGTGAAATCTCACCTGTGCAACCCATGCACAAGACTACAATGTATAACTTCTTACCATTTCGCTTCAACTTTGAAGCGGTCCTTGTTGTAGCCTGGTTCCCTTATGTTGTAGAGAGGGCGGGATGTCTCTTCACTTCCTCAGTCAATCTTTCCGTGAAGTCCCGATCCGATACCGGTACTGCTGTACTGCCTGTAGTCATTTTCAATTTTCCTGAAATAAAAAGAAAAACAATTAACTGCGGGGCTATCATCAGGTGTATTTTTTGTACTATCTTAATCCTAGAAGCTAGTAAGATAGTGTAAATTTTACATGTTTAGTTGTTTATTTTTACCTTAGCACCATAATGCTATCTTGTATTCAACCAATTTTGTTTTTTCACCCCCCACCCGGTCACAGTTTACAGTCTAGTTTTTGTCACGTCTGAATCTGATATTGTTTGTTTTTTTGTTGTTTTGTTTTTGTTTTGTTATGGGTTTTTAATAATACACTTCAATTGCTACTGTAATCTCGTACAACGGGCAACAGAAAAACCTCAGTCATAATAAGCTGCACTTTGAATAATGGCAGGGCGGGGGCAATTCTTGTCGTTTAGGTCTACTGGTTGTAGAAACTGGCTGTCGTCTGGTTTGTGCTTTTATCTCTTATCATATAAAAAAAAAATTATATGTGTTGTTTTATCTCTCATCATACATGTATACATATATTTGTATAGACTGTGCACGTTTAAAGGGATTCGCCAAAGCAGTGTGGACCACTGACCTAAGAAATATTTTTATATCAGTGGTGTGGACTAACAAGAAGACTGGACACACACGAGAGAGAGAGAGAGAGAGAGAGAGAGAGAGAGAGAGAGAGAGAGAGAGAGAGAGAGAGAGAGAGAGAGAGAGAGAGAAGGTGTCACAGGAAAGTAGAGGCT